TTTTGGATGTAAATGTTTTATCTTGAATACTAAAGATCACTTATATAAGTTTGATTCAAAGTCTGATCAAGGTATATTTCTGGGATACTCACTTAAAGGACAGGCTTACAGAATTTACAACCTAAGGTCCAAAAGAGTCGAGGAATCTGTATTTGTTAAATTTGATGAATCTGGGAATTCTAACAAAGTTTCTGCAGAAAGTATAAACTTGTTGTTTCCCATATCAAATGAGGAAGATAAGCCTGAAGATGAATTCAAAGACTCCCCACCAGAATCAGCTGAGAAAGGCAAAAATGAAACAGCAGATGATGGGAAAATTGAAGAAGAAGAAAGACAGGCGCCTCCACACATCCAAAAGAGACATCCACCCTCACAAATCATCGGACAACTTCATGCTGGGATACACACCAGAGGTAAGTATCAACCAGGTCAGTATGCCCTCGTTTCAATGATTGAGCCAAGAAACTATAAAGAAGCTCTTTTAGATGATAAATGGTTAGATGCAATGCAAGAGGAACTAGTTCAGTTTGCTAGATTACAAGTCTGGGAACTTGTTCCTCGGCCATTAAATAAATTAATCATAGGAACAAAATGGGTTTTTAGAAACAAAACTAATGAAGAAGGGGAAATTACTAAAAATAAAGCAAGACTTGTAGCTCAAGGTTACTTGCAAGAAGAAGGCATTGATTTTGAAGAATCATTTGCCCCTGTTGCAAGAATAGAATCAATTAGAATGTTATGTGCATTCGCATGTTTTATGAAAATTCCATTATATCAAATGGACGTAAAAAGTGCATTTCTAAATGGAGAATTAAAAGAAGAAGTATACGTGAGTCAACCACCAGGTTTTGTTGACCATAAATATCCTGATCATGTATACAAACTGTCTAAGGCACTTTATGGATTAAAACAAGCCCCTAGAGCTTGGTTTGAAAAACTTTCATCATTCTTAAGAACAGAAGGCTTCATTCAAGGAAATGTTGATAAAACTTTATTTATCAAGAAAGAAAACAGTGATACACTAATTGTGCAAATCTACGTTGATGACATAGTTTTTGGATCAACTAATTCATCTATGAGCACCAAGTTTAGTAACTTGATGAAGTCCGAATTTGAGATGAGCATGATGGGTGAGCTATCTCACTTTCTAGGGTTGCAAATTAAGCAATTAGACTCAGGAATATTCATTAGTCAAACAAAGTATACTGAATCAATGCTTAAGAAATTTGATATGCACTCAGTAAACCCTAGTACAACCCCTATGGCCACAAATTTGAAACTAGACAAGGATGAAGGGGGAACTCCTTTCTGTGAAAAGAAGTACAGAGGGATGATAGGCTCACTACTGTATTTAACAGCAAGTCGACCTGATATCCAATTTAGTGTAGGTTTGTGCGCAAGGTTTCAATCAAAACCTAGAGAAAGCCACTTCAAGGCTGTTAAAAGAATTTTCAGGTATCTTAAGGGAACCTTAGATATTGGACTGTGGTACCCTGTAACCGATGCATTTGAATTAATTGGATACAGTGACTCAGACTTTGGGGGAAGTCTAGTAGATAGAAAGAGCACAACTGGAACAATTCAAATTCTAGGTTCATCACTTGTGTCATGGTTTAGTAAAAAACAAGGTGCGGTAGCACTCTCCACAGCCGAGGCAGAGTATATGGCTGCTGGAAGTTGTTGTGCACAAATAATGTGGATGAAGGCACAACTTTCAGATTATGGATTTAAGTTTAGCAACATTCAAGTATGCTGTGACAACACAAGTACAATAAGTATGACCAAAAATCCTGTACAACACTCTAGAACCAAACACATTGAAATCAAATACCATTTTATCAGAGAACTTGTCCAAGCTGGTCACATCGAGCTTCAATTCATTAAAACAGAATATCAACTAGCAGATTTATTAACTAAACCTTTGGCAAGTGAAAGATTTCTCCAACTCTGCACAGAAATAGGATTGAGATCCTTGAGTCAAATTAAAGATCTTTAGAAAATGAACAGCTCAGTTCTCTATGTTTTACATGCACTGGTGGAGAAAAATCATGATTATAAACCTCTAAAACTAAATCTATGTTTCAGTAAGCTGATTGGAGTATTAGCTTAAAGCATCTTTTGCGTGTCTTGGTTTACACAAAGCAAACCGCTCCATTTCGGCTCATGCCTGTCTCGTCTAATGCGCCCTTTCTTTTTAGCCTAATCATTCCACAAAATAGAGTCTGCTGAGACTCTTCAGCTTCCAGGACATCTCCGATATTTTCTTCTATAAAAAGAGGCAGTGATACCTGCCTATCTCACACTGCTCTCAAAACTCACCCTCGTGTTTACTCCCACAAAATTAGCCTTCAAAATGAGCGACCATCTTCCCCGTCCTTTCCGTTTTGATGGACTAGTGCACACATTCTCTGGCTACATGTTTCATGAGCCGTTAGTTGTCAACCACCATCGCTACCTCCAGCATTTCGACAAACGAAGGCTGCACCACACCACACAACTCGATCCATATGAGTTTAACCTCTACAAGTATGATATAGTGTCCCTCATTGAAGGTCTCGGATGGGATTTTTTACTCCGTCAGCCTGTGCACCCTGCTTGTCCGGGTGCAGTCAAGTACTTCTATTCAAATCTTAAGAGTCCTGGTATCAGCTCTAGGAGCTTCACCACTCTGGTTTATGGCCATCTTCTGACCATACCAGTAGAAGCTCTAAATGGGATCTTGGGGTTTCCTTCCCAAGGACTTGGAGTTGCTCATCCCTCTGAATTTTGGAAGCACGAGTTCAAAGTCGAGGTGGAATATGGCAATTTCTCAACTGAGCCCACTGGAGGTTCAGATATACCTATTCCTGTCTGCTGGCTGCCTCCAAGGTTGAGGATCTTTCATCATTTCATCACCCATGTCCTTTTTCCCCGAACGTTCAACCAGGACAGAGTTCTCCACATGGATCTGTGGATTATTGCAAGTGCAACCGCTCGACGAAAGCTGGACTATTCGAGCATTATGTTTGGTCAAATGTTGCCAGTGGGTGATGAAAACTACAGAGGATTGATTCCATTCGGGTCACTCATTACTCGACTTCTAATCAACCTCGGTGTCGATCTCTCTGAATTTAGGAGTGTCTCCTCTACCATGTACATCAGTGCACTCAATGTGCTGATGGTTCTGGACCTTCCCTCTGATATTTCTCCTCCCCCTCAACCTTCTACTTCCCTTCTCGGTCCTCCTCCCAAGCCTTCCGGCATCAAGAAGACCAAGTCTGTTGGTGAATCTAGCAAAGCTGGCGACTTGGTATTTACCATCTCTGAAGGGGACTCGTCGTCAGACGAATCTGCTGCCACTGCTCCTGCCTCCTCTCCGGCCTCCTAATACTCTTTCTGTCTCTCTTTCGTTCTGTTATTTGTTGATCCTGTTGGTAGGATTTGTTGTTTAAGTTTGTAGTCTTCTAGGGTAATCTGCTTAGGGGGAACTTTTGCCAGGATTATATCCTGATGTTTTGATGGTCCTGTTTCAGGACAATGCTCTATGTACTTCTGCTTTTTATTGAATGAAATTTCCCCCGTTATTCTGGACTGCGTGTGCTGCTGTTTCTCTGTTGTTTTTGTTTTGCAGTGGACTTCTCGGATGAAGGGGGAAATTGTTGACCCAAAACGACTTGCAATCTTCATCCACACGACGACGTTTTGGTTCGTCCTCTCCCATAACAAAGTGACATCGTTTTCGCCTAAGAGATCATCCTTCGAAGTCACCTTCTGGACTCCTCGCTTGCTGATCTCAGACCAGCAATCTCGATCATTTCGCCTCTCCTCTTCTCTCGAAATCCCTAGCTCTCCTATATCCCGCTCCACCTCGCACCGGCTCTATACGAGATACATCATTTAGGCTACTGCAAGACTGGTTCTAGGTAACGGTCTGCTTCCCTTATTAGTATAAAAATGTATGTTCTTCAAACTGTAAAGACTGTACTTTTGAGAGGGAATTGTGAGAACTTCTGGGTTGAGGGTTTCTTTCAATTTAGATCAAAAGGGTATTTTCATTCCAGTAGAAAGAATCGCAGGGTATCTGTTTGTACTGGGCGGTTCAATCTTGGGGAGTGAGTGATTGTCGAGTGATTTTCTGTTTCTCTGTTTAAAAGAGCCAAGCTGCTTGGCTTGGCTTAGTGTTGCTTGTACTGAACATTTTCATTCAAATAAAAGTCGCATTTTCAGTTCAAGAGTTGATTATTGTGTAAATCATATCACACTCCCTTATTAGTATAAAAATGTATGTTCTTCAAACTGTAAAGACTGTACTTTTGAGAGGGAATTGTGAGAACTTCTGGGTTGAGGGTTTCTTTCAATTTAGATCAAAAGGGTATTTTCATTCCAGTAGAAAGAATCGCAGGGTATCTGTTTGTACTGGGCGGTTCAATCTTGGGGAGTGAGTGATTGTCGAGTGATTTTCTGTTTCTCTGTTTAAAAGAGCCAAGCTGCTTGGCTTGGCTTAGTGTTGCTTGTACTGAACATTTTCATTCAAATAAAAGTCGCATTTTCAGTTCAAGAGTTGATTATTGTGTAAATCATATCACACTCTGATTTAACAAAATCGTTTGTTCTTACTCTTCTCGTATATACATGATATGACTATTATTCTTGAACCATCTTCACTCAGTAATTATGTGAAGAAAAGGGCGGACCAATGAAGAAACGCGGAGGGAAGAACAAGAACAGCTACCCAGAATTTAGCTAGCTGCATGCGCCTTCTTCCTATATATAATTGCATCATATAAATTATAACCAACGATTTGTGTCATTAAGATTTCATTGCGCTGTTGCTAAAATACTGTTTGTATTGTACGCTACATGTGAGTGTGTATAGTATACATATACAATTACATAAAAGCTTTCTTCATTCTGGAAAACAAAATACAAAAGAAATAATAATAATAATAATAATAAAAGCATGCTGGCCGGTACAAAATGTGGATGCATGCATAGAGGATTAGACACCGGAAAACTTGTGACTAATGGCCGGGGCCTCTTTTGCTAGGCCCGGAAGCCAACCTAAACATCAACCCTCGCAACGAAACCGAGAAATCCTCGCCATTGCTGCTGGAAGATGCGACAAATGAAGCTATACCGGCGCCAGATTGGCCGCCGTCCGCATGGTCGCGTCCGATGGGCAAAGCATCTGATCGGAGAGCCCTGCCGCCGTTAACGGCCGTCATCTGTGTGGACAACGCCGTCATCAGCAGAGCAACCACGATGAAGAGACTACCGCTACTCGACATTCTTACTTCTCTCTCGATCGATCGAGCCTCGACACTAACTAGCTGGGGTTCCTCTGGAATGGAGAAAGCTTTTGCAATGGGTTATATTCCTCGTCGCTGAAAGCTTCGTTGGTGATTAATGTTATGAAGATAACGGTGATGATGGTTTTGGTGAAAGAAGGAACTTGTATTATATACTATATAGAGGAAGCTGGGGGAATGGTGTTGGGCGGTGCGAGATTGTTTGAAGTGGGAAGGGAACCACTATCCATAGATTCGTATTTTGACTTGGCATTTGCTAGCTAGCTAACCAAAGTCTAACGCGGGCTACGTCGTGGCTGCTTTTTCACTTTTTTCCCACTTTTACTCTTTCTCGTTTCGGTAACCTGCTGGGTTCTTGGAGCGGCGGCACATGAAACCTGTCGGTTGGTAGTAAAAGTAGGATTTAATAACAAATTTGGGCTCAAGATAGGGTTCATAGGTTATACACCCATCAATAATCAAATCTGGACCCTTCATTTAGAAAATCCAGATCTAAGGATGGAGAATTAAAGACTATTTTTATTTTCACTAGCTTTCTTAATTGACTCATATCTTTTTCGTTTTAACTCGGATTTTAATTTTTTTTGCACAGATGGAACGAGTTCACCGTGCTCTACAAAATGAGATCAATTTTCAATATTTTTTTAGGAAAAAAAAATTCTGGCCTCTCGGTACCAACTGCATACCATATGGTATCTTCTTCGTTTTTAATTCGATTTTGAAAACGTTTGCACAGCAGGGATGAGTTCATCATGATCTACTGGATCTACAAATTTCTGGGTGAACAAATTACAGGACCAAAAAATACCACACAATACCATACAATACCACCCTGGTACGGGGTGGTATTGTATGGTATCTTCTTCGTTTTTAATTCGTTTTTGAAAACGTTTGCACAGAAGGGACGAGTTCATCATGATCTATTGAATCTACAAATTTCTGGGTGAACAAATTACAGGACTAAAAAATACCACACAATACCATACAATACCACCCTGGTACGGGGTGGTATTGTGTGGTATACAATGTTAAAAGTCGTAAATTACAATTAATATACTTCTACTATCATGTATTCAACCATCCTACAGTATTGGTTTGTTCATACCACCATGGTACGTTTTTCAAAACATAGGTATGCTTTTATTTCAATACCAATCAATACCATATGGTATAGGCTGGTAAAAAATGGCTCAATTTTTTTTGTTCGAAAAATATATTAAAGTGGATATCATTTTGAAGAACACAATTAATCTGATCTAACTGTGCAAAAAAAATTAAATTTCGACTTAAAATGAGCGAGAAATCGTCCATCAAAGATTAAAAAAGGAAAAATTAAAGGCTTTCCATGAGAGAGAGGATGCTGATGTCATGCTGATGCGTAAATTACAATTAATATACTTCTACTATCATGTATTCAACCATCCTACAGTATTGGTTTGTTCATACCACCATGGTACGTTTTCAAAACATAGGTATGCTTTTATTTCAATACCAGTCAATACCATATGGTATAGGCTGGTAAAAAATGGCTCAATTTTTTTTGTTCGAAAAATATATTAAAGTGGATATCATTTTGAAGAACACAATTAATCTGATCTAACTGTGCAAAAAAATTTAAATTTCGACTTAAAATGAGCGAGAAATCGTCCATCAAAGATTAAAAAGGGAAAAATTAAAGGCTTTCCATGAGAGAGAAGATGCTGATGTCATGCTGATGTGGACGGGTTACTCATGGTTACTCACCATAAGGTTACTGACCTAATCCATTCCCACAAATTTGTAGTCTAATATTTAATTACTAACGTGTAGTCCAATATTTAACTACCACAAAGGCGGTTTTTGATACCGTAAAAAAGGCAAAGCGTGTGTTTCCATCTGGACAAACGCGATGGACACGAACTCACAGCTACATAGGCAAGCCAGGTAGCAGGGAGGGTGCCGGAAACAGTTGCATCCCACAGCCCACGCAGCCATGTGTCCTTGTTCCAATGACAATTCCGTTCAAATGGTTACATGGATTAACAAATAAAATATGACTAAATTTTATTAACTTGAAATAAAATATCATAATCTATATTTCATATCATAATCTAACCGTCTAAACTAGCACAATAATCAAATTAATTAAATTAAAAGTTTAATTAGTTTGATTAATTGGTTAATCAGATTAACCAATATAAGTATATAACATCACATTATCATTAAGTGAGAATTATTTTGGTTAATGCATCAATTTAAAATTGATAAAATAAATAAAATATAACAATCAACACATAGTTATAGTTAACCCTTAATATAAAATACATGAAAAAAATACAATTACCTTACTTGCAATAGAAGTATTCACGTAACAAAAATACAAGTCAATGGTACGAAGTTGATGAATTTCTGTATTTGTGTGAATCGGTTTAGTCTCCTAACAATTGTCATAGGCCGAAAAGACCTTCCTTTCAAGTTCTCATCGAACATAATGTATGATTTTTATCTAAATTAGACGCCCGTATGTTGTGGTCTACACTCTACAAATACAAATATACAGTATATGAACAACATTGAACTTTATTTTGTTATGATCCTAAAATGAGCAATGTTTGACTCTTGAGTGATTATGCAAAGTATTAAACATGTGTATATAATATATATTAGATATAAGACTGATTACTTAACTGGTTAATTTGGTTTGATTGGTTAGGAGTGTTTGAAATCAAACTAAACCACCTAAACTAAACAAGTTACAAAATTTAACCATCCTCCTCAACATCTCCATGAATTTCCTTAGGGAAATATCATCCTTCTTCTTGTTCTTCTTTAATATCTCAGGGTATGGTGCTTCTGTTGGTGCAGACGAGCGCGAGGCTGCAATGGAGTTCCCTCTTCTTTTGATCTCAAACCCTAATTTGCTCGACTGGAAGAGAAACAAAATTGTGGAAATGAAAATGAGTTTCGAGTTTGTTTGATCAGATACAAAACATAACTTAAACGTTGAAATGGTTATATGTGATATTGGGCTAAAGGCCCAGTCGTTATTTGTTCTGTGTTAAATTAAGCCATGTTCAGTTTTCAACACAACAACGTTTCTCTCTCAATCTCTTCTTGCTCGATCAAACTTCCCTGTCAATACTCAAACCTGCAAAACAGAGTGTTCCTGCAGAAACAGAGGTAACCTGCAGAATCAATAAATAAGCTGTTAAGTAAAATTGACACAAGGAATTTTTTTACGTGGTTTCCACCTGACTATGAGTCAGTCCGGGCAACTCTGCTTAATCAAAAAGGGCTTCAAATTGAAGGAGTTCTAGGTGCTCTCATTCGCGAAGAAACTCGCTTGAGAACACAAGCTGCAATCGATCATCGTCTAGGCCATGGTCACCCACCGATCTTTGCGGAAACAAAGGGAAGTTGTGGGAAAGGGATGTGCCCACAACAATCTGAACGTCATGGACAAGGAGTAGGGGGAGCGGATTCCAATTCCTTCTCTGACGCTACGTTTGCAGTCTACCTTTCTATTGCAGCTCACCGGGAGGTCAAATGCCACCATTGCCAGGCTTGAGGACACACAAAGAATTACTCCAGCAAAATAATTTTCGTGTGTACTGTAAACAAACAGTTGACATCATACCTGATTGTCCATCTCTTACCCAGCACTCGTCTGAAAGGCACTGCAGCAGGCTGCCCCTGCCCCCAGTAATGAAGGATTTCTAGTGACTTCAGCAACGCTTTAGGAGCTCCTTAATAAAGCGATTAGCTCAGCATTTGCCGGTCTTTGATTATCGGGGTAAGATTCCAAACTGGATTTTAGATTCAGCATTCTTTAATTATATGACGAGTCAATCAAATTTGGTGTCCAATATTAAACCTGTTAATGACAGTACTCTTCAAGTAGCCAATGGGAATAATTTGTCGGTGGCGGGAATTAGGAATGTTAAGAATGAAGATGTGCAATTATCAAATACATTTTATGTGCAGAAACTTATATCTAGTCTAGTTTCTGTTGGTCAACTTACTAAGCAAGGTTGTCGTGTTGTGTTTGCACCCTCGGGATGCCCTGTTCAAGATCTAAAGATGGGACAGTAGTCTGGAAGGGTAGTAAGCCTGGGAGAATCTTTTATCTATCATCTCAACACTACATCATCATCATCATTACCCCGTTCCTCTTCCTCTGGGTGTTCGGTGTCTCGGGTATCTTTTTCTCCTGTGGTTTCGAGTATCGATGATCGTACTTTTCAGTTATGGCACGCTCCATTGGGGCATCCAAACTCCGCTAGACTTGGTGTTATGTTTAAAGAAAAATTATTTGGTGATAAAGTGGTACATTGTTCTGATTTTTCTTGTACTAGCTATGTTGAAGCTAAGACTACTCGAATCTATTTTCCCACTAGTCTTACTACCATTTAAGAACCATTCTACTTAATTCACACTGGTCTTTGGGGGTCCAAGTCCTGTCACTTCTCGTCATGGTTATAAATACTTTGTCCTATTTGTTGATCATGCTACTCGTTACACACGGGTTTATTCCTTGCATCTTAAATTCGAGCTTCTGACTGTTGCCACAGAATTCCTTAATATGGTCAAAACCCAGTTTGATAGAACCGTTCAGACTAAATTGCATTTTGAAGCTTAAAATCTTACGCTTTTACGCTTTTAGTTCACTGAATGGGTATTCTTTTCATGAAATTAATTATATTAAGTATATTTTAAAAGTAAATCACCAACAGTAGGATATATTTGAGATTGAAAGATACATACCAGGTACTTCGATGCATCCTTAGCTTCAATAGAGTAATCTAATTCACCAACTAGGCCCTTCCCAAGTTCATTAGCATAGAGGGGAAGGTGACTTAGTGTTAAAATCTATGTTTATGAACTTATTGTTAAGATGCTATGAGTTGCTCCAGTTTAGACATAAATTGCACTCATATTTTACATAGTATATTTCTTAC